ATATATATATATATATATACATATATATATATATATATCTTGGCTCTCATTATTTTTTCATCTTTTTAAGTAATTATTCGCTACAAGTAACATTTTCTTATGAATAATCAGTATTATTTTCACAATTTAATATGCTGCAAGAATTATTTCCTTCAATTTAATTTGAACTGTAATGGCTCTAAAACTTGGTCTCACTGGTACTTTTTTTTTCAGCATTTTTTGAGACTGCATGCTTACGATTCGAATTTCTCAATACACAATTCTTGTCACTTAATTACCAATCCGGTTCTTATTTTTAGTTTACACTGTCTCAACGTTGAAGGACGCTGCATGGGATAATTACGCTCGCTACTGCGAATGAATGAGGTCACTGCGAGTATGGCTAAGGACAGTACTAAAGATATGGGTAATTCAAGAAGTTATTAAGGATGACTGGGGATATTTGACAGGCTTATCTGAACACCTGGCGTAAAAAATAAGCTGCACAAAAGCATGTACACATTCTTCTTTTTTTGTTAAAAGTAATACTGTTCTGCAACACGACCTTCAATCTTTAGCAGTACACATAAAATATCGAGCTGTGGAAGAAAGTGCTGTAGGAATCTTAGCCAATTTTTGCATACAATGAAGAAAAAACAGGATAAGTCGTTTTATTAAAAATAATAATAATAATAGCTATAGTGACAACAGTAACAATAATAGCAATAATGATAATGATAATAATAGTAATAGTGAAAACAATATGCAGTAGTGTTGATAAGAAAGGAAGGAATAGTGATTATTACTACTATAACTATTAGAGAATACCAATAGTACTAGTAACAGCAACCCAGACAATGATGATACCCATAATATTAAAGGTTAATTGTTCCAGCGAGGGTTAGCCGCTTGCCTTAATGAAAGCCGATGGCATCGTTCTTTTTCAAAACCCCTGTTGTTGTTTCTACCTCTAACATTCTTCAGAAAAGTTCAAAGTCTATTTAGTTTTAAAAATTCTCACTTTCTGTAGTGAACAATGTTGTCTGAAGAAAACGACAGGCGCAGGGAATGGGAAGTGACCTTGAACTTCCCAGAAGGATGCCAAAGACAGAAATAACACCGCTAAAAAGACAATGATCACTAACGCTGATAAAGCGCAATAATATATCATTGCGTTAGTCTTCCTCAATGCGCCGCTGCTTTTGCACCGGATGACTTCAACTGAGTGACGTGGCTGTTGAGTTTGATGAATTACTCGGAGGCATCCGCCACAAAGATAGAAACTTATTGAAACTTCTTACAGCGATCTATGATTGCAACTGATTACAGCAGCAGCCGTACATCACTGAAACCATCGAAAATCGTCAGAATTTTATCAGATTCTAGTAAAGTCACTAACATGAGATAACCAACTGAATTGTTCAGGCGATCTTGATATTCTTGGCATTGGAAATATTTTTCTGGATAATGATCATGACGAGATGATGGTGCTCAAAAAAACACCAAGAATAACTTTAAGCTACTAAGCCCTTGCCAAGTACTTCTTTCGGCAAAACCACTGAACTGATAATCCCTCCAGCAAACGAAACGAACGCCAGGACCAACAGCAGAGTGATCATCTCTGATGCAGCATTAGACAGAGTAAATATGGAAATTGAAAAGTTGCCAGATGCATGAAAATCTTAAAAAAGCACACGCAGAAAAGCAAAGATTTAAGAAAAAAACTGTGAAAAGTTACTTCAGTTACCAGATTCTAAAAATAGGTGAAAAATGATAAACTACGCCAAAAAATGACGCAAAAAGTTCAAAAAATAAATAATTTTGGAGCTTGATTATGCGTTCGTTTAATATAAGCAAAAGAGAGGTAAAAGTGAACATAGGCAGTTCTATAATTTGATGATTATAGGCACGTGGGGAAGCTTTCGTATAAAATACGCAAGCAAAATATATGCAGTGATCAGCACGAAAACATATTTTGCATACATCACCCTCGCTGACCAGTACGTATGTTTTACATGATTCCCACTCCATTCCACACTATTTACTGTCTGTGTTTACAGCTCAGGGATGAAACGTAGGCAGGCCTACCTAAATTACGCCCTATACGTGGCTAATTAACATATTATATATTTTTTTTTTCAATACATTTGCTGTTTAGCAATTTTCTCTCCCCCATCCCCTCCCCCATTTTTTTTTACATCCTCCAGATTCTGTCCGCTTCAAATCCCAACTTTCTTAATAATGGATGTTACACGATTGCTACCTTGGCTCGTTTGGGTCGAAGAGTACTTTCATTACAGTTTCATTCCTGCTACAGTTGCATTGTTTTTTGTACGTTTCCTCCCCATCCTTCCCTTCCTTCTCATTTTACATGTAAAACACACGTACGCAAAACACATATTTTATAGCAATAATTTTTTGTATTTCTGCACTCTTTATTCCAATGCATCCAGAATTCCACTACAGTTAATAGAATACGACTGCAAGTTGAAAATGCGCATTTTGCATATATTCTAAAATTTGTGTGGAATTTGGGCAGTGATAGCGAATTTTATTGTTTCCATACGCTTTGCATCGGAAGGTGATTGCGTCAGTGGTTTTTATTTGGTTTTCTTTGTCTCTGTAAATGTGGTGAGTGATATTTTCAATTGCTGGAAAAATTCTCACTGTTTGTTAGCAGTGAGCATCAATTTCTTTCCTTTTTTCTGGTTGTAGAAGCTTCCGACATTTTTATGCTCGCTGATGAGGATTCATGCGTTCCTCTTCGCTAAAGTCAACGACGCAGCCAGGGGTTTTTTTGACGCAGTTTAAAGAGTAATTCCCAATTTCTTTCTTTTTTCTTTCTTCCTTGCATTTCCCTTGTAGTTCAAATTTCGATCTAACGCTACTCTGCGTATTTGTCTTTTTTTTTTTTTTTGAATTATAATGAATTCCGGTGAGTGTCGCTTTTTAGTGAGAGGTATTCGCGAGAAAGAAAACGACCAATTTCTGGTGGCCTCTAGGATGGCACACATACATCGAACAGGTGACAGGAGTTAACTGAGGTGCTCGGTGTGTGAAAACATTATAGTAAATTGAAGTTTTTACAGGAATTAAAATAAAGGAAAGTAGAAATGAGAATGAGGATAGAAAGCGAGTAAGAAGAAAAGGAAGGAAAAATAGAAGTTATTCAGGCAGAACAGATACACAACATTCTGGTGGGTTCAGAAGAGGTTATCCATCCCCTCACCTTGCCTGTTGAGGATGTCTGGATTTGGGAAAGATTAGAAGACTGGGAGGGAAGGGGCCGGGAATCCATAACGTAGTATAATGATGATTTATCTGTGACATCACTAACATGGGATACCCTCACACCGATTTTTGTCCCAATGGTCTTGATAACAAATCGATGTGCAGTTTTCTTTTGCAGCGATAATATGCATTTGACAAGCATGACTATAATTTCTTTGCGTAAGATTTGTTGTTGGAAGTGAAGAGGAGGAGCAGAGAAACGATGTGCAAATAAATCTACGGAAAAACGCATTGAGCAAGATGTGATCGTTCCCTCATTTTTCCACGGTGCTGACATTGGCTGCTATTGGAAAGAAACCCATCAGCCAAACCAGTGCTCAGCTGTTTTTTGATCAGTTAGCAGTAAGCCTTTAGTGGATAGATATATCAAGTATAATGGAGAACTAACGGAGGTTCTAGGCTGATTGGAATTTTTCTTGGAATTGCATCTTTTTTTCTAGCTTTGCACTTTGAGCTGAATCATCCTTGCACAGGAAAGAGGGAATGATTGTTTGTATATTATATATATGGTATATGCATGGGGTACCGGTACTGATAGCCCGATTGGACTTGGTAATTATAAAAAATATGCATGGTACGTCTATGAGAATGATTCAGCTTCAAATGCACATAATTGTTATTTTTATCAACTACAATTTACAGTTCATTTCTCCAGCCGTACAGATAAATAGTTTACTTGTTGTTTTGGCCACTGCTGCAATAGTTGCTGATCAGTCCGCTGGCGTTTCTGATGTTCGTTTTGTTTCTCGAAGAAATTACTAATGCAACGGTTTTCCGGGCAAATTCATTTGGCAAACAGCTTAAATCTGTTTCGAAATATCTGTAGTGTTTCGAACAAGCGTTGCCATTCCTAGAATATAATGAGATAACTGTAATATAAGGCCTTCAAATAATGTGTTTTTGCAAAGCTTCATTTTAAAAAACATGAAAATAACAGACAAGAAAAAGATTATTTCAGCGATAAGAGCTTCTCTCCGCAAACAGAGAATCGTAATGGAAATCGAGCGGACGCTTGTTGGTGCAATCGATCAGGGCACTTCCAGTAGCCGATTTCTGCTCTATCAACTACATCCACGTAAAATTGTTGCCAGCCATCAGGTCTATTTTTGCCTTTGTTCTTGAATTTTTCTGAAAACCCGGAAGCAGTAAAAATTCTCAAAATCGACAGTGCTGCTAGAGAAAGGTGAATGAAGGATATTGTGGGATTCGAAAACCAACATCCCCATAACATCTGTTATTTGAATCCTGAAAAAAATATGGCTGACTCTTAGGAAAACAAGTGAACTGATTTTGCTTCTCGAAGTCTGACCTTACGCGAAGCAGTAAAAAGTATCTGAGGCGCCTGATCTGACTGATACGTGAATTTATTTGCTCAGTTACTATCGATTTTTCTTCGAAAAAATTGGCAAAAGTTTGATAAAAGGATTACAGATCGAAATCCGGCAACAGTTCCCGCATCCAGGATGGGTGGAAATCGATCCAGATGAAATAACAAGTACCGTGACAGCCTGCATAGATCAGGGCTGCGAAAAAGCGAAACATGCTGGGTTTACTATTGCTGATATCAAAGCGGTTGGAATCTGCAATCAGCGAGGTTCTTACTGCCAAAATTTGATAGAACACATATAACTTCAGAAATTCAAAATTTACTAAAGTATGCGTTAAGAGCAAATTGGAGATTTGCAGTTCGAGACCGAAGGGCGTAGCACAATTGCACTTAACGTGTGGGAGCATCCTAGTAACATAATAACACCATTCTTGGTGCTTCTGGCAGTATGATTTTCATCATGATAGAACAGTTATTTCAATGTTTTGCTGATATTAGTATTATGATAACTAAACAAGAAGATGTGAACATTTAGAAACAACAATTTTATGGGACTGCGAAACAGGAAAAGCTCTTTATAATGCAATTGTTTGGCTGGACAGTCGTACCACCGAAACTGTCGACACCTTTATCGATAAAACATGTTGCAAGTAAAGTTTTTCCAAATCACTATTTTTTGGTACCATTCTGTGTAAAACGGAATCAAGCATCGTGACAACGACAAAAAAAAAAACAAAGTTATGAGTCGTAGTCCTCAACACAGTTATAAATGGTAGTCTTCAATCAAAGAGTCGAACCAAATGGACTGTGCTCACCTCTTCAATACCACTGAATTGGAGACAGTGACGTACGAATGCGAAATGTGAACAGTAATCAAAGTAAAAGAGCGAGCGCTGGTTGTGAGAGGCAGCGATGCAATGAAAGATGCTTGGAGTGTTTATACATGACTGTATAAACAGTCAGGTTTTCTGTCAGATAAAACGGCATACAGGATACCACTGCGACATGCAACAAAGTAAAATTCAGCGGAGAGAGTACGTTGATTACCTTTTTAACAAACGATGAATGTTGGGCATTACTACCGATTTATCGTGTGAAAGCAAGCGAAGAAATAATGCACATGCATCAGGCGGACGGTGAGAAGTAGCTAGAGGCATGCAGCTTTGAATCAAAAGGCCTGACGTAGCTGCACCGGGCATCCCATTTACTAACATTGGAACCCCTCAGTGACAGATCAATCGGTCTGGGTAATCTTCGTACATAAAGCTCAATCGCTTTCAATTTCGGCCTTACACCTTACATTAAAAAAGAAATTCTGGATATTTTCTTTTTCTTTAGGTATCGTTCCCTAAAACCAGCGTTTTGATTTAATTTAATGTTTTTAGATCTAAGGAACATTTCAAAGAAGTCACCGGGCTCCCAATACATCCGTACTTCAGCGCTTTGAAAATTCGATGGCTTCTGGATAACGTTGAAAAAGTAAAAGATGCTATGAAACGAGGTCGTTTTCTTACAGCGTCACAAAGTGTGGATTATTTCGTTATTCCTCAAAATTTCATCAAAAATCTTTGTTTTTCTCATAAATGTCACTCATTTTGACCTGAAATATAAAACTTGCAGAACATATTTTTAGGGAAATTAATGTTTGGAACGGTGGATACCTGGATACTGTATAATTTAACCGGAAAGCATGCTACCGATGTAACTAATGCCAGCAGAACACTACTTATGTCGCTCAAAACGCTGGACTGGTGCCCAAAGCTGTGCAATTTTTTTGAAATTCCAATGAGCATACTGCCAAAAATCCATCCATCTGCCGAGATATATGCCACTATTAGCATAGGTTTGTGCAGGAATGAAATAATTTAGACTTTTAACTTGCTCACTTGCTTACTTGCTTACTTGCTTGTTTACTTATTTACTTTCTTATTAGTAAGGGAATAAAGCAAGCTAAGCTGAACGAGGTAAATTATGCTCCAAATTATGTTAGTCATGGCGGAGTAAATTATGTTATTTATATATCCACTACTACAGCAGATACACTAACAGTAGTGCGCGTGAGGGGTCCATACAACCACAGTTTTTGCGATCAGCTGCTACAGGATCATAATAGGTAAACGCGGTAAAACACGCAGTACTAAAAAGTATTTGCTAAAAAGTATTTAAATACTAAGATTAAATTTACCCTGTCTGATTTAAGGTACCCTCAAAGGAGTACCAATATCGGGCTGTTTGGGTGACCAGCAGGCGGCTATGTTTGGTGAGCACTGCTTAATGCCTGGCGAAACGAAATGCACGTACGGAACAGGAACATTTATGCTTACCAATACAGGAAGTAAGCTGGTCATCAGTCGCAATGGACTGCTAACAACGGTCGCTTACTGGGTGCGTCAATTTGAATTTAGTAAAAATTTTCCAAAAAAAGCAACAAAAAAATTCAATTGACAAATTTTATTCTGGCTTGATATAATAAGGGGAAGGCCAAATTAAGCTCTTAGGAAGGACCAAATTATTAAAAATTTGTGAATGTGATTTTGCTTGATTAGTGATCAGATCGAGATGAAGGCATAATTTGTGAACCTCGTACTGAATTGGTAGCCGCAACTTGTTGTGAATCGTAATCGGATTCGTAACATTCGTAAACATTAAGTCATAGCTATAACCGTAGTGAAACCATAACCGAGCAACATTCGTAGTCTAAATCACAACCGTAGCTGTAGTGAAACCATAAGCAGTGAAACTAGTAACTGTAATGAAATCTAGTCGTGGTAAACGGTAATCGATAGAATTCTTAACTATGATGAAATTGCAACTATAGCCGTAGTAAATTGGTGGCCAATCAAATACCCTCTCTCCTCTCTTGACTTTAAATACCCACACCTCAAAGATTAATTTCGGTACTTTCAGCTCGGTACAAAAGCGCCAGTTTGCTATGCGCTCGAAGGTTCGGGCTCCATCGGTGGCAATGCAATTCAGTTTCTGCGCGATAATTTACAGATCATAAAAGTGCGTCATTTTCAGAGCATATGATAACTTGTTTGTGAATTAATAGTTAACTCAGGTATTTTCTGTTATTTCCAGAACAAGCAATCAACATCTTAACAGAGCAGTAGTACATCGGGATTTTGTGATTACGGTCGTTTACTAGTTGTGGAAACATTCCTCTTCATCTGATTTTTTCGTATAATTTCATAGGCATACGTATGTTATAACTAATGTCTCCATTGGATGAGGCCCCCTTCAATGAAATTTGGCAATACCTTTTTTTTGTTGTTCATAGATATTCTTATTCAAAATATGAGCTTTTGATCCTCCAAATGGTCAGGATGGACTTTCAAAAAGCATATGATTTCGCAGCCCCACCCTTGTATCTTTTGAGCCATTGAAAGCAGCAGAGCTTTTATGAAGACAAATCAAATCACTCAACGACATATCTGCTGGTAGAGTAAATGCTTTTGCTGAAACAGCAAATGTAACCCAATGACAAGCCATGTTTTGAAGATTCCGCAAGTTGTTCCTAGAATTATGCATAAGCACGGGACTAGCAATTTGCAAAGCGCGATGAATAGTCAGCTAGCGCAAAGATCCAAAGAAAAAATCTTGGCCGGTCTCAAAAATTTAATATTCCAGTAACTTCTCCTTGACTTTTAAATAGATTGTGATTTCGCGCAGAGAACCGTTGAGCTAATAATTCATTACGAGACAAGATGAATGTCAGAGTCACCAGCAGGTTGACCACCAGTAGCGGTCACAGTGTCTGGAAATTTTAAAAACTGCACTTTGTGGGAAACTAGGCAATGAAATACAACTGACCAAGTATTCCAAGAATAAATAACTTAGGCCTTTTTTTCATATTCGCAAAATTTATTGTTATTTCATCTAGAAATATTAGAATCTAGAACCTGCCCAGTTCAACTAATCATTGTAGGATGTTTCTGAAGTAGAACCAGCAGCAGCATCAGTGCCTGAAACAGATGGTGTTGTATTCGTTCCCTGCTTCACGGGCCTTTATACTCCCCATTGGGATTCATCCGCTCGTGGTACCATTTGTGGCTTGGTACAGACAACCACCCGAGCACACATCATCCGAGCTGCTCTTGAAGCTATTTGCTTCCAGACAGAAGAAATGGTCAGGTCTGCAGAAATGGATTTGAGCCATGAGCAAAAAATCATGGAATTAAAGGTTAGTTGCCATTTACCGTGCTTTGTTAAGCATTAATTCACATAGTTTCTGTCGTTAAAAATCTGGAGTGCAAGATGTATAAGTATCATATTCTAGGTGAGATCCTCCTTTCTGCAGTGATACTTCAAAGTCGTCGTTTTTCAAAAGTAGATCCACAGATCCTCTGCCTGTATAATAGAGAGAGCTATAGAGCGAAGGATGCTTGGTGCGCCTCTTCTTCGCCATACAAACGTTTAGACTCTCTGCCAGACAAGCGGCGTGTAGGATATCATTGCAACCATGCAAGAAAGTAAAATCCGATGAGCAGGGGCATGTTACTCACCATTTTGACAACTGTTGCTTGGCATATATTAGTAAACGATTCCTGTGAGGAAGTAAATGATCACTCGAGTGACCCTCGAAGAAATGGCGCGCACATCGAACGCTGAATACTAGATGGAGGCACTCAACCCAGGATCGAAAGACAGCATAGCTACCACAGCTTATGTGAGCTTTCCGGTATCATTACTAGTACGGAATACTCCATTCGGTCCTAATAATCCTGGTATATCCTTATCCAGTAATGAATAGCGGTGTGCATTGAAAACAAGACGATCATGCGTTTTTCACTGCGATCAGCTCTTGTTCCTGCGATTAAGGCAGTGTTGCATGATCCCAGAGGATCTAATATTCGAGATTATTCTAATTTAGGGCGCAAATTGCAGGTCGATGGCGGCATAACAGTGAATGGATTATTTATGCAATTGTTAGCTGATAATCTCGGGATAAATGTGATCAAGTCGACGCATACGGAAGCTTCTTGTTGGGGTGCTGCAATGGCTGCTGCCATCGGTGCTCAAATTATCAGGTTTGTGCATGAAAAATTTCAAGATCTGAAAAATTTTCTGGGAGTTTCTTGTGTCTTCTAAAAGAATTAGCGAATTAACGGCCATCTCGAGTAAGTACTTTGGCCATTTAAAGATTCAGTGGTGCGTGTTGGGCTTTACCGTTCCGTTTTCATGCTGAAATGAATGAAAATGGCGTGATTGTCAGCAGTACCATTGAAGATTGTTTGAATAAGATTCAGCTGTGAATCAGAGCTGTTTCAGTTATCAAAGAGATTCAACGGTTTATTCTGGTAATGTTTGACTTCTAATGTTGTTTCAGTTTTGAGGAAGCCGAAAAATTCCGTGATAAAAATGCCGGAGTAAATTCGCCACAAATAAGCAGCGAAGAGCGAAAGCGACGCATTACACGGTGGCGAGAAGCAGTTCAGCGAGCCCGTGGCTGGATTCATTCATCATGACGAGCAAGAAAGCAAATGAGCGAATTCGGGGAAAGTTGTGCTTGAGCTCCTCAAACATGTGCATACAAAACCGTGCTCGATTCTTTAAATGACTATTGGTTGATCTTTGTATTATATTTATGCAGTGGTGTAGCCGAAAACCATGGTGTTTCTTTCATTGCGCATTTTTGCATATATGCAAATGCAAAAACGCACATTGTGACGAGCCCAGCATCCGTATGTATGTATGTCCGAGTATTTTAACTCGGCAACCAAGCAAGCCGCGGCGCCTAAATTTCTCCAGTGGGTTCCCGGCCAAGTGCCACCCCAGAGCCGCGACATCAAACTTCACGCGCGTCTGTTCCTTGCGTACGAACAAGTGAAAGTTTTGGATGGACAACGCTGATTCGGGAACCAGGAAAGCTGGAAGGCCGAAATTTTTAGGAGATGTTCCCTGCCATATAGTTGCACAGTTAATTTCCTGAACTTTGAGGATTAAGTGAAAATTTTTGGCGGAAATTCTAGCTACAATGATTCTAGCTACTGTAACGAAATACTGCGAAAACGCATAATCGCGCGGGCAGCCTGATGGGAGTCGCTACTGATAATGTGTTTCTATGTGTTTTTGCATGTATGCAAGTGCAACCCAGGCTGGAACGAACCAGACTGGCCGGTGCGATCGTGCATGCTAAACTTGCAGTCCGTTAACATCAGCGATGGTGCTTATGACGTATTTCAACAACTGGACTTATATTGGCTGTGTTTTGACCTTTTCCCACATGAAGAGAACAGAGCGTCGGCTGGGACGAAGGTGTTGCATTATGGAGCCGCTTGGACCTCCAGCGCATATGATTGTCAATTTTTTGCATAAAGCCCGGTCGTTTTTCAATTGAATGCAAATTGGAAAATGGCAAATTTGAAAAAAGTCGGAAAAAGGTATGAAATTTTCAAAACACATTCGTTTTTGAGTTCTAAAAATTGACTATTTCTCACATCTGCCTGCGGAAAATTCCAAATGCAAACTGAATTAGGACCGTGCGCGTATACAGAATATCCTTGCAAAGTTTCAGCTTTGCAGCTTCTCTGGTAAGTCAAATGGCCACTTCGCTACAAATATCTTTGAAGTGCCTTAGGTCATGATGCAAGTGCAAATCGAAACTCAATTTAGGTGCCCAATTTTGTATGCAAACATCAAATATTCCGACAAAATCTCAGCTACTGTTTTCCGGCTAATATTCGAGTGAGCACAGTGCCAGCTGCGAACTTTAATGCGACCATAAACGCGGTATAAGCATGTGCAGTAGCTGAATTTGAAATTTCTAGTTCAAACATACACAAAGAATATCTTTGCAAAACACGAGCTTTCTATCTTGTCTGCTTCTCGAAATCGTTTTCCGTCAAAAAAATTTACATATTTTTTCAGAGCTTCGTACTCGACATCTAGGCACGTATGAGAAAAGTTTTTAAAATGGGAAGGTGACGTACTGGTAGGAATATGACCCAAAATTTCAGCCTTCCAGCTTTTTTGGTTGCTGAGTTGAAAGTGGGTGACAAAGTTCACTCGTTTCCGAACACAAACATACATACACACACACACACACACTCACGAAGACGACTTCTCAGCAGCATGCATTTTTGCTTACTGTAACAAAAACGCATAATAAATAATGGCGCTCACCAGGTAGCCTCTGCTCTCATGAGTTTGTGCGGTTCTTGCGGGTTTTTGCCTGTTAATGATTTTTACTGCTTTACACCTTGTACTGTGAAAAAATAGTCGATACGTTGTTTGGTTGCTAAACTGCAAGATTTCCCAATAAAAATTTCATCAGTGCGTGCTGTTGCATACAAAAAATCAGTCATGCTTTGTCGCGTGCAAAATTCGGCATGGTAACACCACTGCTTGGCATTATATTGCATATGATCGGGCACAGTAAAAATCGAGTTTTGGCAGATTCATTAATTCCAAAAGACATATTTTATTCGACTAATTTTAAGCACAGCAGGTCAACTTCTCGAAAAACAGGCTTAATGCGGCAAAATTGTTGCATCTAATCGCAAAATGTAAAGTGTATAAATGTAGATGTGACTAGATTATGGCGTGAAATACTTCAAAACAAAGCTTTCGTCCTATTACCATATTTTGCTTTCGGATGCGTTTGCTGTAATATTCCTTGAAAATGCGTTCGTTTCGCAAGAAGTTTAGCTACTAGAAAAATATGATAACTCTTCACTATGTCACGTATGCTTCGCGTAAAGCATAACGAAAATTTCGGTTTACGAGCATTTAGCATTAATTATTCGTTGACGTCAACTGAGTTAGTATTGCTAAATAATCCGATTAATCTCATTCCCGGATTACTGCTCAAAAAAACCACACAGCGACCTACAAATAAATATAATTTGTTATCCGGCAAGCACGACTAGGAACCAGTTACGCAGCATCTGTTCAGTTTGTGGTTTTTTTGACTTATTTTTATTAAAATAATTTTATTCCTATATTTTTTGCGCATTTTTACTTTTTATTATAATGAGTAAACGGAATAACCAATAAGTAAGGTCGCTCTTCACATTTATTTTACTACTTTGACTGCTCCGGAATGCCCCAAATTTTTGAAGAAGACGAACTGTGGCGGGTTTCAACTCCTTTTAAATCTTTTTTGTGCTGTTGCACGCTACTGACGAGCTACTTCAGTGCTTTAGTTATCTATATGGTTTCTGGGCATACCGATGATCTAAGGCAAATTTTTATTTTTATTCTGTAAGCAAGAAAAGACAGATTTAACCAAAATAGACTGAAAAACGCACATTTCTCAAGAGCATTTGTTGATCTTTGTTTTAATTAGTAACATGTGCACTTTTAACCATTGAATTTTACATAGGCGTTAAACAAGTGCTGAAAATCTGCTGAAGCTTTTCAAGCATTTTCTTACCGCCAACAAAATTTCAAAAGTATTTTCCTGTCAAAGTGAACATGGAACGAAGCTTTTTGACGGCTTGTACATCTTGCAGCAGTTCTTTGGCGAAGTCTTGCTGAAAACTTCTAAAAGTCTATCCATACAGAATATTCATCCATCCATAGCTTTCGAAGTGATCTGGCTAAACATTCTCCTTTTTATATTTCAAATTTACGTGAATTTCAGCGTTTTGTTTATTGCTTATTGAATTCCTCTGTTTTTTTAGGAATTTTATTTGCTTTCAGATGCTTTTGAAAGAGCTTTTGCTGATAGTTGCGAGCAGCACCTTCTTAACTGCTTATCCAACAGATGCAACAACAAAAGCCACCGGTATCCAATAAACTGATGTTTATTTACTAATGCTTGAAACGGCTATTGATTCACTATTTGTGTGTACATTCATGCTCGAGCGGCTAGCGGTTTAGCTGACAACAGTAACATTTCTCTTCTCTTCATTTGGTGGTTGTTTTGACCAGTACCGTATCGGCCGATCGTTAGCCTTCTAGCATTCCTGACGTTTCCTCCATTATCTGAAGCGGTTACCGGTTCAAAGGCTCCACAAGCAAAAGAAATTTCGCATGCTCATTGACATAGCAGATTCAGCTGTGTGTACTGAGTGCCAGCACATCGTCTTAAAGCGTTGGTACTCTGAAGCCATGTTGAGATGCCTTGCTATCTTTCTCTCGGGCGTCGCTGCCTTTCAACGTGAGCGAATATGCAGAGGTTTCTGACTTGACTTCAGTAAAAAAGACGTACTAAATATATTGACTAGGTAGGAGAGGGTTTTGCGGCAGAAGGTAGAGGACGAAGAACGGGGACTAAAAACAAAAAGATTTTGTTGTTATTTCTAAAGTGTCACCTGCCAAGCCGCATTAGCAATTGAGCGAACTTAAAAAGTATAAACAAAGTTGAACTCAAGGTTTCATGTTATAAATTTGCTGGAAAAAATCATTTCCAGCAAAAGCGGCACAAAATTTGTCGAGCAAGCGACCAGCTGAGGATGTGTTTGCTGGCTCCAGTTCCAAAAAGTCCCGAAGCAACCAAACCGGAACAGGAGCAGAGCTTGGCCACAAACAGTTCAGTACCGACGCAGAATGCTGCAATCAAAATCACCCGTTGGTACAACGCAGTGAAATTTTGGCACAAATATTGAAGTACTTGGGAACAAAAGACCGAACACGTGTTGCGCAGTTTGTTTCCCTAGAATTATTTAAATTAATCGGGATTTTTGTGCTCTGTAGGGTACTCTTGGACAAACAAACAGCAAGAATTACCTTGAGCAATTTTTTCCCTTTTGCGCTGCATCAGTGAGAGAACAAAGCTAAGAGCTGAGATGTGCGCATGTAGTTTACTCACATGTGTGTGTATATGTACGTATTTACGTAGTGGAAATATGAGTGCTGATATGTGCAAGACATTAAGTGTGCTAAAAAATCGAAATATATTTGACACTAACGATGCACATCAGGCAGGCCTTTGCTATCATACGTTTTTGCAGTGTTTCATGCTGTAATAGGGGATGGTACTTGGCCAGAAAACCTATTGGAAAAAATTTAGCGCCGAAGCTCGCTTGGTTGCCGAGTTGAAATACTCCGATAAACGCACACACGTATATACATACATACATACACACACACACAAACACACACACTCACAAACATACATACCCACTGGGGTCGTCAGTATATGC